CTGAATTATCAGAGTACGCTGTTGAAAGTCATCTTTCTTAACTGTTTGAAAGCCATTAAAATGCAACTGTACTCCCAACATTAGTTTGAAAATTTAATCACAATGTGATTTTAGGCATTTATTTTGATGAAGATTATAAATGCTGTTTTCGGTATGATCTATTTAGAAGGGTGAAAAATATTTAATAACGAATATGTGATGCTAGGAAATTTTATAAACTTTTCATTTAATGTTTATGACTATATAATATACTGTGATGGTTTAAAATGAAGCTAGTAGTGACTTGTGCAGCCATCTGTAATGAATAAAAATGCTGAACTGTTTACTGTCACATTATGTTTACAGCATAGAGAGTGGGTATCTTCAGACAAATTTTGGATATAAACTTATTGATGTACTGATGCCAGTGCTAATGCCATGGAATTATTTCTGATGCATTTTATTTTGTGCTAAATTATATCCTTTCATACCCAAACTCTATTTGATTGCCTGGTATGGCTTTCTGGCTGGCTAGAATTTCCATGCTAATTTATTAACACAAACAGTTGAGAGAAACTGCCAATTTCTGGGACCCCCTTTTGGCCTTCTTCCACAAAACTGAGTAGGAGGAGAGGGACTAAACCAAATAATCATGACCTGTCTTCTTCCCACATCTCCTTAAACATAGGCTTTCATGGAATTGCTGAGATGTTTCTCCTGGTGTTTGTCTTAAGGGCTTGAGGTGTCCCAAGAATGTTTGGGTGACTTCTATTTCATATTTAAACTGGCTTTTGAACATGTAGGGCTAGTTGCTTATCTTCTGTATGTTAGTGCAATTCCACTGGTGCCCAGCTGAAGATCTGGTTCACGTTTTGGTGGTGAGAAATCTGATTTCAGCTGGGGACTGAGGAAGCCCAGCAGTGTTGAAAAGAACAAATTACACTATAAGCACTGTATGGGATGATATATTTTCCTAGAGTCAAAAAGCCAAAGGTGCACACATGCAGACAAAATCTCATTTATAAGCTGCCTTTCATTTCCTTTATAGGGAATTAAAAAAAAATGAAATTGGGAGCACCATTCATAACTGTTGGAGTGTCTCCTTTTGACTAGGGGTACACGGATAGAGATTTTTTTTCGGCCGATACCGATAGCCGATTTTTAAGGAGGCATATCGGCCAATACCAATCCGATTTCCGTTATGCATCCTGGCAAACTAAAGAGCAGTGTCAGGCTGATAAGTCTTTTGTGGTGGAAGGGGAGTGTGGGGGAAGGGAAGGGGTGTGGGGGTGCAGATCAAGGCCCCTGCGTTGAGGGAGGGAGTGGGGCTAGGGCAGGCACTGCCCAGCCAGGGCGGGTAGGGGTTGGAGCTGTGGCTCATCTGGGGGTGCAGGGGGATGGCTCCCACTACTGTGTGCATCCCAGGAGGGCACAGGAGGCACATGCCTCAAGATCTGTACACAGGGCAGGGCAGGCTGCCGCTGTGAGCTGGAGCCAGGGCTGTGTCGGGCTCTTCCCAGCAGGAGCTGGGCCAGCTGATCTCAGGGCAGGCAGCAGTGGTGCTGGGAGGGAGGTTACGGGGGGGGCCGCAGCCCCCCACAAATTCACCATAGGCTCCCCAACCCACCTCCCAGAACCACCCCCCCCCTGCCGTAAGTGCAGCCTAGCCCAGCCCTCCACTGGGAAGAGCCTGGTGCAGCTCCTGGAGCGGGGGGCCCCCCCCCCCCCCCCCCCCCGTGTCCCCTGGATGAGCCACGGCTCCATCCCATGCACCCCCAGCCCCAGTTGGGCAACACCTGCCCCTGCCCCATTCCTCCCCCATTGTGGGAGGCGTTGATCTTTGCCCCCATGCCCCTTCTCTCCCTCCTCCCCTTCCACCACAACAGACTTACCAGCTGGCTGCACCTCACCAAGCTGCTGGGCTGTGCTCCTCTCTGCCTACATGCTGCACTTCATGGGGCATTTAGCAGCCACATGATCGGCCACATCGGGCAAAAAAAGCTGATTTCCGACAGAGTCAATTTTCTTTATATTGGTGCCGATCCAATATCAGACCGATGTATTGGTGCACCTCTACTTTTGACTTATCAGGCATTCTGTTCGGATATGTAGAAATGAAGAAGTAGTACAGTTCTGGGCTTGACATTGTCAGTGTCCTGCAATTTCTTTCTTCCAAAAAAGGCTGGAGATAAGCAAATTCATAATTTTTAGAAAAAGAAACATAAAAGGGTAATTTTATTCTAAATTATAGAGCCTGCACCATCATTTTCAAAGCTGTCTGATATTATTTTAAAAAGAAGAATGCATTATTCCTTTTTTGTGACACACAATAAATATGCTATTTTTGCCCTTAAATATGTATGTTAAAGGAAGGCAGGTAGAGAGAATGATTTGACTCACACAAGTAAGAATGAAGTAAGAAACCTTTTTGTGTGTAGTTTGCTCTTACAAATCTGGTTAATGATAGTGATGAAAAAGTTGTTGTGTAGGTTATCATAAGTCACAGGGAAAAAGAGCTGGTAGATTCTCCTCAGTCCCAAGTGCATACATTTCCACATTGTATAGAAAATAATATACCTTCTCAGTTCTCGATACTTAACATTCTTCTTAATCTTCTCACCATTGATCTAATACCAAAGAAAAATATTTTCAGCAGATGGGAGTTTCTTTCTGCTGCTGTTTGCTCTGTAATGCCTATTAACCTCTTCTGAGAGTTGCTAAGTGAAGATTTGATGGCTTGCTTCACCAGTTTTGAATATGCATATAAACCCTTCCTGTAAATAGAGTAGGGTGAATTCCCTCCAGTAGAAATACTGAGATGTAACATCAATAAACGCTTGTATTATTCTGTCACATCTATCTGGACGGGGGGTGAGGGGGAGGTGTTAAAATAATTTGAGTTCGCTGTTGACCATGACATAGGAAGGGGAGTCATTCAGAATGTCAGAAGTGCTTGGGACATGTGCTTAGTAGTCTTACATCTTTTTGTAAATACCTATCTTACATTCCTACTGTTTCCTTCCAGGGAAGATTCCCCTTCCTGGAGTCTAGCTGAGGAATAAACCCAAATCTTCTGTATTCTTTCCACTGCTCATAGCTTCCTGAAGTAGCAGTCAAGGCAGAGCAGAAGAAAATCTTGTTGCTATTTCCCCAACCAAAATAGATCCCATGGAGCTTTAAGAAAATGTGCAGTGACACACAGATATGCAGACTGTGTATCACAGTTGTACTGACTTTTAAGAATATGTACATAGCAGATTGAATACCTGAAGCTCCTGCTGATGCTGCGCAGAGCCAGGATTGCATTCTCTATTATGTGCAATGATTTTGAAAAGAAGGGATGAAATAGCTACTAGGACGTATCATGAAATGTTTAAGACAGAAATAGCCTGCTATAAGCGTGCTTCAGGCAAAGGCAAAGAATTCCAAGAACTTGATAAAGACACAGAGGAGTTGTTGTAATGCATTAATTTTGCACTAGTTAAACCGTTCCTCATACATGCTTTTGGGCAGTATCAGGGCACACATAAAGTCAGTAGCTAGCACTGAACTAGGTACAGGACAATCTGGGACTCCTCCAAAAGAGGTACTGTTGTTAATAATTAGAGCCATTTAGATCAGTGGTTCTCAATCTTTTTAGAGTTAAGGTGGCCCTTGGAAAATGCCAGTTCTCAGTTTTCACTATTTTTTTCACTACAGAAAAACAATAGAGCAATTCTTCTGTTGCAAAGAACTCAAAAAGACCACAACAGGTCAGAATGTTTAACACTAAAGATTTCTTTTTTAAATGTCTGGGTTTATCTTGTGAATCATGCTTACACACCTAACAGTGGTAACTTTGTATGGCACCCTGTGGCCCACATGAAAGAATTTCAAAGCACCCTAAGGTGCCATGGCACCTTGGTTGAGAATCTCTGGTTTAGATGCAGTACTTAGGAGCACCATTGGTACGTGTGTTGCTGTGTTTCTGAACCAAGGTGAAGGAAACCAAAAATGGATAAATCTAGAATTGAGTTTTGAGAAGCTGCCAGCAGGCGGAACAGTTCCGTTGCCATTCTGAATGAGTTCGTCTGTAAAGTGCCACTCTGCCCTCTGCTCTACATGCAGAAGTCATAGACAGTTTGTGATCTAAGGAGTGTGGACTCAGATACACAAAAGGTCTCTAGTGTAACAATGCTTAATGTCTACCATGCTTTGTAGGCACCTGGCTCTTGGAGTGGAATTTACAACTGTGAATTAGATGCTTATGACCCTAAAGCAGGGGTGGGCAAAATATGGCTCGCCGGCTGGAACTGGCCAACCAAGCACTTTCATCTGGCCTGTGGCAGCCACCAACAAATTGTGCCCCACCCAGCCATTCCACCCACGAAAGTGGGAGCAAAGTGCCTGCATGTACACACAGCCCCAAACACACCCTATTGTCTTGCTCCCACCCTTGTGGGTGGAACAGCCTGGCCAACCAGCATGCAGCTCCTTGGTCTTCTGCTGGCTGTGGGCATCAGGTAGGGAAGTGGCAGGTGCGGGTCTGCAGGTGGCAAAAGCATGGGGCTGGGGCTGGGGCTGGTGGCAGCATGGAACTCGGGGAGGGGGGAGGGTTGCGTGTGGGTGTGAGAGAGGGGGGGTATATGGGGACCCCCCGCTTGCCTCATGGTAAGTAGCCCTGTGTCCTGAAGCCCTGCCTGCTGCTGCTGCCACCGCTCAGGTGCTGGAGCTGGCTGCCTTCCCTGCCCCCCCCAGGGGAAGGCACCTGGGGCTTCCCTCCCCTGCAGTGCAGCCCTGGCAGGGAAGGAGCTGGCTCCAGTGCCTGAGGTGTCCCTACTGTGCTGCGCAGCCCTGGCAGGGAAGGCAGCTGGCTCCAGCACATGGGGCTTCCCCCCTGTGCTGTGCAAGCACAGGGGCTGTGCGTGAGTGGCAAGGAGCCCCAGTGATACAGACAGCCCAGCAGAGGTTGTGCCTCTTGCTGTGACGTGCAGTGCTGGCTGGAGCTGCAGCCCTCTGGGCGCCTACACCCTGAGCACTCCGGCTGCTGCTGCTGTGCCATGGGGGCATGTAGGGGGGTCTCAACACTCCCTCACCCTCCCTCACACCCACGCCCTGCCCCCACAACTCCCCACATATGCACTACCCCCCAACATGACCTGTGCCCCCAACACACTGCCATACCCCCACATCCTACCACCCCCCACTCCACCACACACACACACCACCGTACCCTGCCCCACCATATATAAAACTAAGAATTTATCTTTGAGTTATTATGCAGTCATCTCTTTATACACTACTCAAACATAAATCATGACAAAAATATTTTTTGTAATGCAATTAAAATATGTTATAGGAGGTGCTTGACTTCTAGTGTATGATTTGGTTTTTTTCTGGTTCTAAGATATCAACCCCCCACTCCCAAAAAGAGTATTTTCGGGGGGGGGGCAAGGGGAGGGACTACTGGTGGCAAAGGTCAGGGGTTGGGGGTGGGACTTCCAGTCCCAAAATGGTGACAAGGGGGCAGGGCAACTGTCAAGGTGCAGGACTGCCCATGTGGCCTTTGACAGCTCACCAAAACTCATTAAGCTGCCCTCCCTCCCTCTGAAATAATTGCCCACCCCTGCCCTAAGGAGTGTAAGGCGAGAATTACATGCCCAGAAAAGGGATATACAACAGCTAACACTGCATGTATGTGTTTAAGTGAATGCCTAAACTAATCAATAAAGAATGCTAAAGAAAAGTTTGTGTCTGAACTCCTTCCTCTCTCCTCGATTTAGAAACCTAATCAAGGCAGCAGTAAGATGCCTATGTGAGACTGTTCCATATAGTCTAAATAGACAAAGAAAGTAGTGTTACTTTGTTTTACAGATGGGGAAACAGGCATGTGGCATGCCCAAGGACATATTGTCTGTGTAAGAGTGAGGAACTGAACCAAGTTCTTCCGAATTTAATCGCCAGACCACTGTGTTTCTGTACTTTAGTCATTAGACCACTGTACTATATTAGAGTAAGGTGACACCTTATTCTAATATCCGTGTCTGTCTTAGCTGAGCTGGGTCTTGGATTGTCCTTTACTGGCTCTGCACATGTGATTCATAGTAACCAGCAGAGTTCTGTTGGGAACTCCACAGTAATTACTGATGTTAGAAGCAGAGGTAAATCTCCTCCAAAGCTCTTCACTCCCCAGTGTGTGTAGTTTTATGGATTCAACCATTATTAGCGTCCACTGCTATGCAGGTGGGAAAGCAAACATTAGACTTTCCTAGGCACCAAATAACTGAACCGGAAGAGGGATGATAATTATGCTTCCCTAAATACTTAGGCAAAAACTCAACTTCAGCACATGTAAGCACAACTTGGGGGCAGGGGGAGTATTTTGTTCTGATAAATGATTATCTTTGCAACCAGTATTGGTGATGACTGATTAATCCTGTATTTAATTTTTTTAGATGCTTGGTAAACAACAACACTTTTTTTTTTAGTTGATGTCCATTAGCGTGTTGGGTGTGTCTGCTTGGATGAGGGACTACCTGAATAATGTTCTCACTTTAACTGCAGAAACAAGGTAAGTCTATCTTTAAATCTGATACTATATGTAGCTGAATGATGCTGCTGTGCATAGTTTATCCAAAGTATCTGGTTTCCTAATTAAGTTTTCTATGGAGAAGCAGTCCTTTGAAGTCATTCTAATTTTTTTTATTAAAAGGGATATTTTACAATTATTTGTGGTGTTGCTGAAATCAGAGAAGAACAAATTTAGTTTTTGCCTTGTCCTGCCCACTTTTGTTCTCTCTGCCTTTTTTTATTGTCAGTGATGAATTTTGGCTTCCTATTCCAGGAATGTAGTTTGGGGGAGGACTGGAGGATGAATTCTATGGCTTACCATTTGGTGTCATGGGGTGCTCCTGCTTTCCAGGGGACCTATGAAAATCTGTTTCCTCGAAAAGCTATGTCCCTGACTAACCCTGTTGGTATATTACTCTACAGCATATTTTGAATACTTTCTATTACATTTTCGAGATGCAAGCATTATCTTTAGTTTTATTATTGTAGCATCAGGTGTCCTAGGCATGGACCATTGTGCTAGATACTGTACAAATGCAGAGCAAAAAGCACCTGCTTTGTAAGTATTCAACCTTCCATATGTTCAGGAAATCTATGATTTTCAAACACAGAATAATTAATTTCTGTGATCAAAAACTGGTAGGACATTTTAAACAATGTGACAACTAATAAACATTTTCATTACAGATTACAATGTTACTATTCTACTTGTAGTTTCTGTGTTTACAGTGTAGTTCTTTATTTTGTTACTGGTTTTGTTTGTTTTTAGGGTGGAGGAAGCTGTCATTCTGACTTATTTTCCCGTGGTCCATCCAGTCATGATTGCAGTCTGTTGCTTCCTTATCATCGTGGGGATGTTAGGGTACTGTGGCACAGTGAAAAGAAACCTATTGCTTCTTGTATGGGTATGTTTTATTCATTAATCTTCAAACCCAGTTAACTTCTGCCTTATTTAAACTCAGAAGAAAAGTGTTAATAATCATTGTCTTTGATAAACACCATATCTGTGTAACTTTTTTCTGGTTGAGTTATGATATTAATGTTATAATATTATATACTATTATAATTGCAAAGCACACTGTAGGGAAGATTTTATTGTGCAGAACGCATTAAGTTATGTTTGAAAGATAAGCTATGTCATTTGCAAAAATGTTGTTAGTGTTAGTAGCATAGGATGATTCAGGGAGAAGAAATGTGGTGCTGATCAGTGCAGGAGCATGGGTAGTTGTGATCTGAAACAAATCATAAGATTATTGCTTTGACTTCTGCTTACTAACTGGTTAATTAACCCTGGGTTCTTTTTTCTTCCCCCTGCAGTCAATTGTAGGGACAAATAACAACACTTAAGCTGACATAACCAACTGATTTGGAAGTGCAGTGAGGCAGCTGCAGAGCTTAATTCTTTTACCATATTTCACAGTGTGTAAGTTGACATATTGTATAAGCTGACCCCATTTTTCTGATCCAAAAAATTAGGAATTTTGTAGATCCAGTGTAACTAACTTACCTAACTAACCTAACTTTTTGGATCAGAAATATGGGGTCAACGTGGGCTAGGCACCTGGGGGGTAGACACATGCCACAGTGCTACTTGCAGGGGACAGGGCCAGGCTTGGGTGGCGTGGCCCCATCCCCTGTAAGTGGTGCTGTCTGGGCCACACCAGCTGAGCACTGAGCTTGGCCCTGTCCCTGTCCCATCCCCTACGAGTGGTGCTGGGCTTGGTGCTTGGCTGGTCTGCCGTCATCCCCTACAGGCAGTGCTGTCTGGGCTGCGCCAGCCCAGTGCCGAGCCCGCAGGGGACAATGATACAGTGTATAAGTTGAGGTTGAATTTTAAGAGGTTGAATTTAAAAATTGGGCTTCAAAACTCAATTTATACACCATGAAATGAAATGTGTTACTTGTGTCTGCAGTGGTACTTGGTTGTAGGTAATTTAAAGTTCAGTTTCAGATTGCCAACTTCCTTCTTCCTGTGGATGTTAAAACACTTTGAGATTGATGTCACTAGATAATCTTGTGCAAGAAACTTATGTTTTAAAATATTTATAGATATTTAATGCTCAGTGAAATCCATGATTTTTTTTTTTTAAATCTGGTGTTTAGTACCTTGCTGAATTGGGTCCCATGTTGGGACTACTGAACTGGGGTGCAGTATTTTTTTGGACCTATACTTATCACTGTAATTCCAATGAGAGTAAAAAGACAAATGAAATCTTTTAGCTGAAGGAATATCTATGGAGTAATGAAGCTGGGGTCCTGCTGTTTCTCAATACCAGAACATATCAGGTACCCTTGCAAATTTCTACTGCTGCACTGCACTGCACTGCACACATGGATTTTTTCTAATATAACTCTATGAAGCTTGGGACTCACAATTTTTACAGAAACTAGGGAGAAAAAAGGTAGAAGGATATGTGAGCTGTACCTAATATCAATTTCTTTGCTCTCTTTAATGTAGAGGCATAACTAATGAGTTTCATGTTCTAAGCAAAACTCTCCTGCCCCTTGGAGGAGGGAGGAAAGAGGGTGGAGAGTGGTTTTACCTGCCCTAGCTGTCCATGTACCCAGCTCCATCAGCCAGGTAGTATAGGGCTGTTTCTGCTGTGGCAAAGACTTGGGGCAGCAGGGGGCTCCATTTTGGTGCCCCTCAAAGTTGATGCCCCCCTAAGTTGGTGCTCAGGAATGAGGCCCTCATTCAGTTACACTACTGATTTAATGGAAAAATATTATAAATCTATGCAATATAGTCACGGCCCTCTGAGAGACAGCCCCTATAACCCTTGACTGTTTGAGAGAGCTGTTTTGTTTAATAGTTCCATTGAAAGCTCCATAATACCATAATGTTTTGCTAATTGTAGGAGTGGTAGATAGTATTTGCCCTCTAAACTATTTCTTAAAATCTCAGTATGATGAATGTTGTTCACAGTTGTATAATTTGGGGAAACTCTCTCATTTTAACACTAATATCTTCTAGTAATGTAATAGTAATACATTTTTAGGACTTGATTTTGCACCATTTAAAGCAAATGGGAGCAGGTTTAAAAACACATTGTTAAAGATAATGATTCTATAGTGCCTGACTGCATAATTACTTTCTAATGTTACTTACCCAATCTTTGTATTTATCTCACAAGCATTAGTTGTTACTAGGTTATTTTTTAAACCATAAAAATATTTTGCAAATCATTTTTATATTCTGTAAATAGAAAAGCAATTAAAATATGATTAAATTTATTCTGAAACCCTTAGATTTTGTTAGTGAGGCTTTTTCCCAGAGCTGTGAAATTTTTTTTATAAAACATTTTTATTACATGAAGAAGAAAAAGAACCATAGCAATTGCAGTAAATGAAAAAAAATTAGGAGGGAATACATTATGATGCTTTGTATTAAATCTTAATATTCTTATTGGTCTTCAATTTTGAAATAGTGCTTTACGTTTTTTAAAAACTTAATTAAAAATAGTAAAATTATTAAAACTGTATCAGGTCTTTTTTCTTGGATTATTTAGAATGCCACTGAAAGAGAAGAGATGGTTTATAGCTTTGAACATAATCTGGAAATAAATTTATTTAATGTGTTTTAAGCAGTCAAATTACATTAAATCAAAACAAGACATTCCTAAAGCTTAACTTGAAATATTTCACTCTCAGGAGCCTGAGAACTGGTTCTTGCTAAATAAACTGATAAGCAAAAAATAAATCGTATCTTCCTATGTATGCCACCCTCTTTGACTAATTGTTAAATAAGTAGAATCCTGCTGTACTGCAGAGATGTGCAGGCATGAGTCAATACTTCATTCATCAAACTAATCAGAAAAGTGATGGATGAACAGAAAGAGCTTTTGTAAGACCAGATGAACCAAAAGATAAGGACAGAAACTTGGCGTAGAACATTAACAATCTCCTCAATCATGCTTTTATTTTTCCTTGATATATAAACAGCTAACATGATTTAAAGACAAAAATGAGGGACGCAAATCTAAAGTTGTCAGGAAGCATTCTAATTGAAAGTTTTTGTAAAGCCTGATAAAACCATAAAATCTTAAAACACAGGCACTAAAAACATGAATTCATTAATATAATTGAATACTTTAAACTTTTTAATTAAAAGCCAGTCATGCTATCATTAGAAAATTTGTACCGCTATAGGCTTTTTGCAGTAAACCATCATCGTTCTAATTTTGTTTTTGAAATTTTACATTGCAGTTAAAATTCTTTAAAGCTTTCATCTTAATGTGCAATGTACATGTAAACTAAACTGACATGTTTACCCTGCTTAATAGCAACAAAATGTAATCACAAGAAGATATTTATCATTTTCTATTGCCTACATATGGTCAGTTGACAGTGATCTAAACTGTGAAAGCTCCTAGATGGCTGAAAATAAAGTTTGCATTTGTAGAGATATGATATATATAGAACTAAATATAGCAATCTCTGCTTTATATATATGTACATAAAGGCTAGATACAGACATTCAAAAAGCCCAAGGCAGAATCAATCTAAGGTACATGGCTTTCTGTAAGGGGCATAGTTTAACTCCGTCGCAAACAGAACACACGTTCGTCCTTGAGGGGGACGGCGGGAGGACATTTAGACTGCCTGGCTTGGACCAGGTTCCACCATTTTTAAACCAGTCTGTGTGTACTGAACTTCTGTTCTGCTACAGGTCGAGACCGGTTTCTAATCATTTAAACCAATAAAAGTATAATGTCAGTACCTTGTCAAAATGCTGTGTGGCTCTTTGAAACTCATAGGTTCTGAGGTTTCTTGTAGAACTGGGACTGGCATAGATGTAATTTTTATTTTTTAAATAACAAAGACTTCATGTGCATTAAGAGCAACTATAATAATGCCAATTTTCCTGCTCTGCATCACTAATGACTAAAATCCTACAGTGAAAGTGGATTCTTTAGGTGACAGACTTTTTTTTGCACCTTTCTGAGAATTTCTTCAGAGATTGCCAGCATGTGGTTGAGTATTGCAGTCTAGACTATTTGTCACTAAGCACTGAGACAAGACCATAAAATTTCAGCTTGGCTTGTTTGCTGCTGATGTGATGAAGCAGACATAACTCTTAGCTCCAAAAGTAGTGCAGCTTAACAGCACTAGTCTTACAGTGCAAATGTTAATATGAAAAATCTACCTCTTATAGTATAAACTTAGCTTTTAATTAAAAATAAACAGATATAATAAATCTGTTAATGAAGTAAGTCAACTTGTAATTTAAAAGTACAAATACAATCATGTTGCATTGCTTGTTATCTTCTAGCCAGAGTCTAAAATGTTTGAGAATGAATAAAATTATAGAGTTGTGAATCTCAGTAAGAGTGTGAATATAAGAAACAGGCAGAAAGAGAAATGATAATAATATTAATTTAGGGTCAAAATCCTGAGGGATCCAGAGTTGCTTTAATTTTTATTGACATCCTGGGAATTTGGGACATTCTTCCCTTTTCTGGGATTGGTAATCTTGTTTAATATAGGATAAAATGTAATGCATGGTGAAAAGAAATTAATGTTTAATGATTTAGGTTTGAATTTTACTGTTGCCATATTTAGGCAAAAAACCTGCTTACAAAGCATGAGATTTCTCTTTAAAATGCTCCATTTATTACAGTAATAAATTCGTGAAAGGAACATCAGTATATTAGGCCATGTGTAATGCTCAAGGGTCTTCCAGGGTTTTCATCTTTCAGACTTACAGGTCATCTTCTAATATAACTGCTCAGGTAAAACAAACAAAAAAATTGCTTTCGTATTTCTAACTTAAATGATAATCTTTTGTGTCTCTTCCATATAATCTACAGTAATAGGGTTTTTCAAAGGCATAAAGTGCATTTAGATGTCTTTACTTCCATTAGCTTTCTTCTACTGATACTTTGTGCCTAGAAAACTTCCCTCA